GAGAAAAGTGAGAAAAGTGAGAAAAGTGAAAAGGATAAAACAGAGGAATCAGGTGAGAAAGTTGCCAAATGATTTAAGACAACAAAGTGATCATCAGATCAGCAGATTTCCTTAATGTGATTTTAAATTAACTTTTATTCATGTAACTTGTCAGACTCAGCTAAATTTTTTTAGCTTGATTTTAACTAATTTTTATGTAATTATCTCAATATTTATTGAGAGTAAGGCTATATGTTGATATTATGATTAGATTTATATATGTATACACTTTACTTTATATTTTTGTTTTCTAACTAATAGAACAGAGTGGAAAAGATGAGACTAAGAAAAGTGAGAAAAGTGAAAAGGATAAAACAGAGGAATCAGGTGAGAAAGATGCCAGGTGGTTTCAGTTGAAGCCACAAAGTGATTTTCATGTCAGATTTACTTAATGTGATTTTAAATCAACTTTAATTCAANACTTTATTTTATATTTTTGTTTTCTAACTAACAGAACAGAGTAGAAAAGATGAGACTAAGAAAAGTGAGAAAAGAGAGAGGGATAAAACAGAGGAATCAGGTGAGAAAGATGCCAAATGGTTTAAGACAACAAAGTGATGATTAGTTCAGGAAATTTCTTTAATGTGATTTTAAATTAACTTTTATTCAACTGAGCTTAATTTAAACTCAGTTTTATGCAATAATATCAATATGTCTTGAGAATAAGGCTATATGTTGATATTGTTCATAGATTTACACACATATACACTTTATTTAAATACTTTTGTTTTCTAACTAATAGAACAGAGTATAAAAGATGAGACTAAGAAAAGTGAGAAAAATGAGAAAAGTGAAAAGGATAAAACAGAGGAATCAGGTGAGGCCACAAAGTGATTATCAGTTCTGGAGATTTCCTTAATGTGATTTTAAATTAAACTTTAATTCAACTTGTTACATTTAGCTAATTCTTTTAGCTTGATTTAAACTCAGTTTTATGCAATAATATCAATATTTATTGAGAATAATGCTAAATGTTGATGTTATGTATACACTTATATTTTTGTTTTCTAACTAATAGAACAGAGTGGAAAAGATGAGACTAAGAAAAGTGAGAAAAGTAAAAAGGATAAAACAGAGGAATCAGGTGAGAACGACGCCAAATGATTTAAGACAATAAAGTGATTATTAGTTCAGCAGATTTCTTTAATGTGATTTTAAATTAACTTTTATTCATGTAACTTGTCAGACTCAGCTAAATATTTGAGCTTGATTTTAACTCAGTTTTATGTAATTATCTCAATATTTATTGAGAGTAGGGCTATATGTTATTATGAATAGATTTATACATGTATA